ATTTTATTATACTAACAGACTAGCATCCATAGTTACACCTTTACCATCAAACTCCTAATCTCGTAAGAAACTGACACTGAGAGATCTCAACAGGACCTTTGTTGCATAAATTGATGACAAGTCACATTAAATAAAAGATTAAAAGCTAACTAAATAAATTCAGTTCTTTAAAATATTATATTCCTAGGACCAACACCACACTGGCAGGCATAATTATCTGAGCTACTAATGGTGGCTCAAGAGAAAAGACATAATTTAAAAACCAAATAAATATATAGCATGTTAACAGCAACAAGCGTTCCCACTGATGAACATTTTTCACACAAGCACTAGTAAGTGAAGGAAGCTCCTTCACAGAGATGAAAGCATTGCTGTCAAATGCAAGGGCTCCTCATGCAGAACTCAGCCCCACTGCAGCATGATGTGCTCAGGACTCTGGTAAAGGGCATGGAAGACAGTTACTAGATCACACACAAAAACACAGTTCCTGCAAGGGCAGGATCTCATCTCCCCAAGAGAGGATACATCAGATATTAACTCATATACTATAGCTGATGTTAGCCAAACACATTAGTTGCACAAGAATAAGGAATGCAACATTTTTTTCTATCAGAAGCAAGAGAGAAATTTATGTTTGTGATGATGTTGCTAAGCCATTAGAGAAAAAGAGCATTCAATTCTTCATGTGTTTCTCAGATGAGGCCATACAGTAAATCGCTTTCCCTCCTCTCCCATATCTTATTACAATGATTAATGTCATCTAAGGAACTTTACATTGGACCTGGCAAGATCAGCTACGTTTTAAAGATTTCCACAGCAATCAACATTCTCCATTTGTTGAGCTGATTCTGTGGCCTTTACTAGATCACTGGCTTATATTTAATGGTGCCAAATAGGGAGATAACAGCATTCTTTAGTACCGAATTTCACTAAACAAGAACTGGAGGACTCACTGCTAAAAAGCAGCATTATCTTACATTTGCCTTACAGAAGAGAAAAGCAGAAGCTGTGGAGGATCTTCCAAAGTTCCCCCGGAAAAACAATGGCAAACACAAAATCTAGTGCTGTCTACCATGGAAAAAAAAAAAAAACCCCTAAGATGCTGCCATCCTGTTAAGGCTTGTATTTCTTGACCAGCTGTGCCCACCAAACATGAAGGAAAGCCATTCCAGGATAGTTCCTTTACATATCCAGAACCTTTTAAATGTCAGGGTTGCAGCTACAAGCACACCACCACCATCCAACAGCAGCAATTGTTTTTAAAGCAATGATGCTAAACACCAGCCTGCTTGCCAGCGACACTCCTCCATGGAAGCTGCCCAAGTCGGTTAAGTACCACATGCTGGGCAAATAAATGCCAAGTGTCAGACAGATGATAAATCATAAAGGGCCATGGAAATCTTACGCCATTTCAGAAAAGGCATGTTGTTACCCAAGAATTGTCTGTTTCCACTCAGGGGGCACGCTGACCCTGACAGATGGGCAAGATATCTCCAATACATCATAAACCTGTAAAGCTTTTAGTAAGAGGAGCCTCGGGATGCCACCTAGAGAAGCTGATAGTGGTGTTCTTCCCAAGGAAGATGTCTGCAGATACAGAGATAATATAACCAGCACTGCACAATCTGAACCTGTTTCATAGCAATCAGCCTTCAAGAGCACCCTGCTCCACCCAAGCTTTCAGCATCAATAAAGCCACTTCTCACTCTCAGGTACTCTAGCTCCAAAGATCCTCTGAAATCAAGTGTGTCTGGGAAATTGTATTTACACGACTGTGCTGCACTCGACATGTAAAACTGTTTGGAGGACAGTTCTCTTCTGCAGATGTCTGGTTTTCAGGCTTTCCAGCAGACTCAGGAATGTGTTATCAAAAACAGCAACACTCCCTCAAAAACAGGCTGTGAAGTGTATGTACTCAAAAAGCAACCAAAACTTTACTGTTCTGAATAAAACACACAGCTTGGTCTAAACTACTTACTGATAAATCAAGGCATAACAGATATTGAAGTTCCACTTAGCAGCTATGCAAATCTCAACTATTAGCATTTAGACATCTGACAGACAGATGCCACAGAAAGAGTCAGTACTTCTGCCCTCAAGGAAAAGTGGGTTTAAGCCCTTTTATTACAGAAACTTCAGTCAAGTCTGATTGAGAGACTTTGATTACTAACTCTGGATTTAAGGGGGAAACCCCCTTAGTCTTTGATCAAACCCAGAAAATAACTCGCGGACTTCGTGAGAGACTTTCTGTTAACTAAATTTAACCAAATTTTAGCACACAAAGAACCTAGAGGATTGGAGATTTAGGGGAAAATACCAGCAGAAAAATTGTATTAGATGAAAAACTAAAAGCATCATAATTTAAAGAGGCATTTTAAAATAATTTTCTGTTTTATTGAGATTTGTTTGAGAAGAGACTTCAGAACAGGAGGCTTTATGGCAGAGGTTATAGCCACACAAAAAAGAACAACAATCTGTGGAATGCATCACGCAGCTTCATCTTCACAAATCTGGGAGTGCTGATACTGTAGAGTGAATCCAACCTGCAGTTTCATGACTATGTCACATGTTTCAGACAAGGGACAATAGAGTTTTCGTCAAACTCAGCTCTCTAAACTGCAAAGTTTCCCATACTTAGGAAAAGCAGTTACTATATGGAACACCAGAAGAGACTGCCATGGTCAGTCTCCTAATTATCTGCTATGGAATTACTCCTATCCACCAAGCCCCACCTTGGGACCTTACAGTACAGAATGACAAAGGCAAACTTCAGTACTTCTTACGAACAGCAACACACAAATAGTGAGCTCCAGGGCTCAGTGACACCTGCCTGGGGCTCTGCAAACCACCCTGCTTTCCCCTAAGGCCACAGGAGCTGCTGCACCACTGGAAGAACATTAACAAGGACCAGTCCCTCGCTGCCCACAGCCTGCCCCAGGGCACTCAAAGGGTTTTCTCAGACATCCATGCTTGTCTTCAATTTTAGTACTATCAGTTTTAGAGTCACTGCAAACCTGACAATGGCTAAACCTGAGACAATGAAATGAAGCAATATAAAGAGGCATGCCTGGCTTTAAGATTAGCTCAAAGAGCCTTTTGGAAAGCCTATAACAAGCTGAAGAGAGTTAATTTGTAAGGAAATGTCACTACTGAAAAGATGATATGCCTCACTGCTGTGACAGAAGCAATTCTTGCCATCAGTTTCACAAGCCTTGATTTAAACCAGTCAAACCAAACACTTGCCTATGCAAAGTAATATGACTTATAATAGCATAAAGACAGAAAGACAAGCTTTGAAGTGAGAAAATATTAATCTGGTAATGTGTCCTGGGTTCCTGTGATGTGTGAGTTCTTATACCTAAGCACTTGCATACTGTAAAATCTTCATTTCACTTAACAAGACTGCTACAATATACTCAAACTGGACAGCAGAAAAGATGTTTCTCTGAATCAAATGACATTCTTTTTCCTATTTCTTTCTCCCCAAGAAACAGTTTTTATGTCCCTGCAAGTGTTCCTGTAAACCAGTCTCAGCTACACAGGAGGCTGGCTGGAAAGATATGCAGGTGGAAGAAAAGGAAGGGTTAAGTAAATAATTTTCCAACAGTCTTCCCCACAGCGTGAGTTTTCCACCTGGGAGGTCTAACATAAGGGTCAACATTTTCGGCTCTAGGTCTTTACACTAAACAAACAAGTAGTTTTTAAAGGGTTTGTGCAATCCCACTCCCAAGTAGAGCAGAAGGGAACTGCAGGTGCTTGCTTTTGATAAAATCCACGCAGGCACCTTTTGCTTTTATGGCCATAAACTTTAAGCCTTCTAGACTCTCCATCTGTTAGCTGCTCTTCCCTACTCTCCAAAAGCTAGAGGGTGAAAGGCAGCAAAGTCTATTGTAACAGGCTAGCATAGTAAATAGTGTTATAATAAAGCATGGGGGGAAAAACCCTCCCAAAAAGTCAAGCTCATCAACAAATTTTAGCATATTCTGCTTGTGTTAAATCTTTTAACTATGATCTTGTCTTGCAAAAACTCATGAAAGTTTACCACATGATCTACCGTCACAAGCTCAAAAATACTGCAAACCCTGAAAAAGCACATCACTTGCAACTCTCAAGCAACAGGGCATAGTTTTGTAAGACTGATTTAGTTAACATTTTCTTGATTTTCAATCCAAGAGTACTGACAGGCCTCAGGCCCATCTTACCCAGCTGAGAAATTGATGTCTTTTCTATTTGTTACAGAGGTTTTAATACAGTGACATTTATGAGTTCCTTCAATAGTAGCTCATAATATCTGCCTATCCAAGTATTTCACCATAAGGAACAGTCAGAAGAAGTTTTAACCCATTAAACTCAGAGAACAAATTTAAACTTCCTGGCTTTGGTTGCTTGTGGATACTGTGATTTGGTCTTTGTTTAAATTATTTATCTCCGCAAGTGGGCTTTTTGCCATTTAAGAGACACATTCACTTTACTACAGCAAGATGCGGTCTCTTTGTTACTAACAGCAAAATTTACTGGAGAACACTCTGTATCAGGAATTAGATATTATACAGGCATCTTAGGCCCATAAGTACTAGATGAACTTGGACCCTCCCCAAAGGCAAACCAGCACACCAGATCCAACAAGGCAATGCTGAGAAAAGCATGACTCTGCCCTGAGTCAGCTCTGATCCAGCAGTCTTAGCAATTGGGACTCTATGCCACAGAAACTGGGCTCTCCTAGTCTTGAACTGATTCTGGAAGCAGCACAGCCACATTCACAGAGCTTAGGCCAGAGGATTAGGCCCTGCCAGCACCAAGCTGGCTCCAAATGAAGCCATTTGCACATGCTGGATGGCTTACATGTAAACTAGGACAAAGCCACCCACAGGTAACTAAGGGCTGACTAACTTGGACAGAGCAGAACTGGCTCATGTTAACTCACTCATGACTAAAACATCACATTCAATTCCACAGTAATTGTAGCAAATAGACCAAACAATTCATTAGTGTGAACTCACCTTGGACTTGACCTGGAGACGACTGACGGTTTTTCCTGGCATTTATTGCCAGCACATCCTCACTAAACTGCTCAGTCAACAAGTGTCCAGCTGCTGTATCTGTGCTGGCAGGATATCTGCCTCGTTTTTTATGTTTCCTCCTCCACATATCCTCCTCATCCTTTTCATCAGACCCAGAGGACTTCTGCAGACCTGCACAGTGTGTCAGGCTGTTCGATACTCTCCCACCCAGGGCATCACTCATATTTAACAAGTCAGATGCAGCTCCATGCTGATGTACATAAAAGTCATTGTCCACCTCCAAGTCTCCTTCTAGACTAACAAAGGCATTTTTTTTATGAGGACATCTGTTCTGAGCGAGCTGGGGTTTATCATTCTCAAATTCTCCAGGCATGGTCTGTTCCAGGTGAGATGTTCCGACCGGTGAATAGCTGTGCACATTCAACCCATTCCTGGCTGGATTATCCTCCTCCAGGCCTCTCCTCAAGGGCAGGTCCAGATCCGAGCTGGGCTCATCTTCTAGCTGCATCTTCTCTGAAATGTGATTCAAATATGACCGGAACCGGCCACTGTGGTGCTTTTGCACAAGCCTCATGTAAGCATTCTTCTGGGGAGCAGCAGGCTTGCTCAATCCCTCCTTGGCAGCTTGGGCAGCAGTAGTACTTCTCACATACTCCAGCTGATCCATAGTGCAGTAAAAGGCCCAAACTTCAGAGTTATATATAGACACAGGGGAAAAAAGGGTTATTTTCTTGAAACAAAGTGTCAAATAACTGATTACGCCAAAAGAGGCAAAAAATGTACTATATAAGAATGTATTGACCTTTACAGAAATTCTGGGTAGATAAAGTCGTTCCACTGGGGGGAAGGGGCTTCCCGATGTACCTGCACCAAATCCCTGTCAGTGACAGGGAGCCCATAAGCCATACCTGCCCATATGCCACACAAAACAGCGATCTCTGTCCTGAGGCTGACACCTCAAATACAAGGGATTCCTTTAATCGGCTCTTCCTTGCCTTTGAAAAAGCCAGGTAAATTACAGCAGTGACTGACAGATTGTATCAGATGCATCAGTTTAGCAGTTATCAGAAGTAAAATCTTGTCGTGTTCAATCTGGAGTCTTCAAAATAAATGCATCCTTACTGAAGTGCTTCAATATTGCTGTAAAAAGCATGTGTTGCCCGTTAGCTCCCTCTCACAGTGGCTGACACTTTTGGATTATATGGGACATTTGTTTCAAATACCAAGAATAACCATTTCATTTAGTCTTTTTAGCCTTAAACGCACTCTCAGTGTGATGGAAATAAAATAAATTCCCTAGCACAAGTACCTACCTTATAAGAGCTCGTAATTCTTATTAACTGAGATACACTGGCTGTTGCTCCATTCAGTGCCAGTTTCTGTAGACTGTACTATGCCTCTACCTTTGCTGCACAAGTGTGGAACTTAAGTAGATGAAGCATCTTTCAATTCTTTTTCAGCTGCTCTCACTTCTAAGTTTTTGGAGCAAAACAACCTAGTAAATTGTCCTCAGCTACTATTAAGGTAAATTATAGGTATAGACAGGACATAGCAATGATTTTTGCTGTATGTAACATCAAAGAGGAATGTAAAAATTTATTGATAAAGGAGCCCAGTGCAAATGCTATCTTCTGTGGGTTTTCATAAAAACGTCTCTTTTTTCCTTCAGAACATGTTTGAAGCAGAAGAGCTGACTTTCACCCCAGCTGGTATGTTGAGCACTTCAGGGCTCACTAGCATCTCTCTTATGCCAGAACTGAGGGGCACTGGACTCAAAGCTAAAATAGAGGATATTGTCCTTTCTCTTCAATTCTGTAAGCACAGGGGTGTTGGCAGGACAGAATACAAAGCTCAGCAGAAGTGAAATTTATATTCCCCTCCCTACTCCCAGCATCCCTGGAATTTCTCATCATCCTCTCCAACTCTCTTCTCCCTTTTGCAGCAGTTGCACAGAGGATAAGGACACAGGCAGTTTCTTCCATGCACACACTGCCAGGGAAAAGGGCACCATCCAGCAGGGACCAAGGACTGCAGAACCAACTCCTCCTCAGAGTGCCTGCTCTGGCCCTTTCAGAGAAACAACACGTGTCGCAGCAAGATTTACTTATGTACTTGAGCAAGGATGTGAACAGGCTTCACAATACAAAGTGAAAATTTAAAATCCCTGAATAAATAAATAGGAAAAAAATCTTTGTGTGGTTTGTGATTCTTGTTCCTAAGATTTTCCATTGGTGCTGGTCAATAACTAAACTTTTTTTAATAGACTAACCTGCTACAGAGCTATTACAAAGCCCTCACATGGGTAGGTCTACCATAAGCTTTCTTCTAATGTCACCTTTTCCCACTGCCAATTCAACAGAAGTAGGTAACATTTATAAAAGCCAGCAGGACTACTCCAAACACTGCTTCCAGGATACAGGACTTTGACATCTTTACTTACAAGTAAAGAATAAACATTCATACCTCACCTCCACCATAATTTCTGCAATTTTAATCACATTAGCAGTTGGCAACTGTTGCACAGACGAAAATCAGAGACTTAGAAGCCTCCATGTATTACAATTTCATTATTAGTCTTCCATGGGCAACCAGGAATTGACATTCTGCTTCCTAACAGTGGGGAGCAGAGGGAAGGCAGAAATGAGTGTGAGGTTGGGTGCAAGGTACATCTGCCCTGCCTGGCTCCTGCTCAAAGGACAGCACTGCGGGCAACTGTAAAGCCAAGAAGGAGGCACGCAGGGCAGATGCTGGCGTAGCTGGGCCCAGAATGAAACCTGGTCTTGTCATTTTCACCCAGCTGTTTACGCAGAGCCATCCTCATCCTCACACCATCCTCACACCGCGTCGCCGCTCTGGACACGGCGCTCGGGAGT